ATAGACATATGTTTCATTTCTCTATCCCTCACATATATGTTCGACTATTAGGGAGATTGAAGTAACAATGGTATTAACCTCATAAGTTCTCTACTCTTATTCAGCCACATGGGCTTGGGATTTCAATTCCTCATATCAATATCCTTTAGGAGTGTAATATCAGTTCGTACACTTTTGTATTTTTATAAAGTTCGATGTACATGGGTTTTCTCAGCGGGGTTCAATTGACTCTCCTTTCATAGCTTCTTGTCTCCCGCAAGAGACCTACATGTTTTTCATTACTCTCTTAGTCATGCCTTAGATATATCACATGCTTATACAATAAATTTTCTTTTACACCTTAGGATCATTTACATACTTCTCACACTATCCACATGTGCTATTCAATCTTATATAACACTTATCAATTCTATGTTTCTTTAGAGGTGGCAATCATTTTTAACACTTTTCTCGAATAAATTATGATTCTGGTACGATGTACGTATCTCATATATTCGTACCATTCGTTCAACACGATACATGTGCCATCTCCTTAATATTCAGGCCTTTTCCCATTTGTCATTCCATATGACAACATTACTTGAAATAGACGAAAGAACATTTAAACTTATCTCAAATCTCAACACACGAGTTAGAAGACAATCTTATAGTCAAGCTTTATCGCACGATCTGGAGTGTTGAATAAAGGTAACATTCCTAAATGTCCATGTAGCCTCCAAATTATAGATGTGGTTGACAACACACAAATAAGAAGGACTCTACTAGACACGGCTCCGAGACATTCTAGGACACTTTAAAACCATAGGCTCTGATACCAAGTTTGTCACGCCCCAAAACCGAGGGGCGCGACCGGCGCTCGACCGGGTAACCCCAATTAAGAGGACCTGGGTGCCTTTCCCATTCCACGTACTACCCTGCGTTTTCATTATCCGTTAACCAAGTGAAATAGCCATTTATGATTTAAACACATTCTTACGAGATTTACATAATATACATGGTTACTTAGCGTGGTTTACAAGTTACACTGCCCAAATACAAAATACATAAGTACATAACCCACATTTCCTGTCTACGGAGCCTCTAGGGATACAAAAGAGTGTTATAATACTTGCCGGTAACAAGGCTCCGGCTATACCTTACGCAAATACCAAAATAGGATTTCTGGGAGGAAAAGCGGCATGAGTCACGTAGGGCCCCGAGAGGAAAAAGGGGCTCACCAATACAGCTGACGGAAAGTGAAGGAGTGCTACTGTTGGTGGACTGGAGTACTTGCTATAGAACTACCTACAATCATAACACAAATATAGCGCCCCCGGCAAAAGGGACGTCAGTACATTTGAATTGTACTGGTATGTATGAACAAACTTTACCCCAAGTAAAATCAAGAAATGCACAGGTAACAAACAGTAATAGAATCAACAATCCAATGCACATGAAAGGAACAACCAACGCCAAAAAAGTTCCACAATCTCTCCTTTTCCCCTTTCAACATTATTTCATCACATAAATGGTTTCACAACTTTCACATATTTTCATTTCAATAGTGATTTTGATCACTTTTTCACCCTTATTACCTCACCCACCCTTATCACCACAACCCACACCTTATAACTTCGTGTTGCGGCGCACAACCCGATCCCACCGGACAATCAAATTTCACACGACAACAACAATAATTCACAAAGAATTTTCATAACATCAATACCATTTCCATCATATACAACAACCCGTATACAATTTAAGTCACAACGATAATTGCCCGCGACAAGTCACGTATGATATTACCACAGTTGTTTCAATTGCATCAATTACGATTTCTTTCCATCATTTGTTACACAGTTCTTACCACATTCACACACACACACTTGGTTTGTTGCCATTTACTTACACCATTATATCGCAAGACGTAACGAACAACGTTCAAAGCATATTAATCACAAGAATCATCATTTCAAGGAAGCACAAGTTCATATCAACAATTCATACATTTGGGCCCAAGACACCATAGATGTCACCAAGCAGTAATTCATGTACAAGGTGTTGTCGTAATCGTTTGACTCAGTTACGTTTTTTCACAATACCATCTTTCATTACTTACCACGCAGGGTTTTTGCCATTATACACATTCCCACATTTGGACACATTAACGTTCTTTCATTCGTTAACACATACTCACATATCGTCATCCTCAAGCATTTACAAGCTTAGCACATAATAAGGTAGGCACATCAAATCACTTTTCACAATCACATATAACACGGTGGTGTGGAAATCAACTAAGACAATCAATACACATATTTTCGTACAAGGTACACATACCGTATGCTCGTCACAACAAGGGGATTCTACAAGAGTTAAAGTTAGCCATACATACCTCAAAGAGCTTTTCCTTAAGTTACTACAACGTTCCGGAAATTCTAGCAATGCCAATCTACTTCGAGACATAACAAAATTGAACACAAATTAGGAAGATATTCATAATTCTAGCTCATTCGAGCATTTTATCAAACACCATATGTGCGTTAAATCTTTATGGTCCTTTTATAGAGGATTTCATCAACCCACAACTCATACTTTACCATCTTTAGCTCAACAATATTTCTACAACCTTTGACAACACATGCAAGCAAGATAACAACTCCAATACCCACAAACATTCTTTATAATTACCCATCTTTAGCTAGATTCAAAATTAAAGGTTAGGGTATAGAATCTTACCTCAAGGATGAAGGCCTAGTGTGGTTTTCCTTGTTAATCCTTTAAGATTTGAGCAAGAGTTGTAGAAGAATTGATGAGGGATACTTTCTCACTCTAGGGCACTCTCTCACTCTAAAAATATCATATTTTTGCTCAAGAAATGGTCCCTTGAATCTATTTGACGAAATGAGGTCGTTTTATAACAAAAACCCCGATTTTCGCACAGCCGCACCGCATGGGGCGACATGGTAAGGAAAAATGTGTTTAGAAACGAAACTGGAGGTGCTCTGATAATTTACACAGCCGCGCCACATGGGGCGGCGCGGTAGTGTAAAATTCTGCGATGTTTTTGGTAATTTGGTCATAACCTTTGGTATGAGTGTCCGAATGACGAACGGTTTGAAGCGTTGGAAACTAGACTCAAAGAGATTTTATTTGATAGGTTGTGCATTACTCAAATAATTATATAACTGGAGATATGATTGTCCAAAGTGAGGTCTTGTGCGCACTCATTTGCAACTTTCGTCTCTTATGAAATTTTCCAACTTGGCTTAGACTTAGGCCTCTCCTTAGACCCCAATTCACTTCTATTATGACTTATACACTTATTAACATATCCAATTGATATCCATAATCTCCTTAATCCTCATTTGCACGCAAGATAAAATATTTGGCCTACCTTGGCACCACGAAATCTTAAATTACTAAGCAAAATTTTCTGGGGCTTTACACACCAACCTCAGCAAAACAAGGAAAAATGGTTTGAAACCACCCTGAAAAACACCCGAGGCACCCAGGACCCCGTCCAATCACACCAACAAGTTTCAATACCTTATCCAAACTTATCCAAAGGCTCGACACGCCACGAATAATATCAAAGCCACGAATCGACTATCAAAATCCTTCTTTTAACTTTCAAACATTCAAACTTCAATGAACGCGTCCGAATCATATCTAAAGATTCTAGAATGACGCCAAATTTTATGTACAAGTCACAAATTACGATACAAACCTATTCCAAGGCTCAAAAACTCAAACGGACATCAATAACATCAAGTCTACTTCAAATCAAACTTAGAAAATTCTAAAACTTTCAAAATGTCACCTTTCCATAATAAGCGTCAAAATGCTCCTGGACCACCCGATACTCAACCCAAACAGATGCCCAAGTTCAAAATCATCATACAAACGTATTCAAATTCTGATTCCGAAGTCGTTTACTCAAAAGTCAAACCTTAGTCAACTCTTCCAACTTAAAGCTTCCGAATTGGGGATTTTCCTTCCGAATCAACTCTGTACTTCCCGAAATTCAATTTCGACTACGCGCAGAAGCCATAAAATATGATGTAAAGCTACTCGAGACCTCAAATTGCCGAACGACGTGCTAGAACTCAAAACGACCGGTCGGGTCGTTACATTCTCCCTCACTTAAATATGCGTTCATCCTTGAACATGCCAAGAACTGCTCCGGAGTTGCCCAAAATCGTTGTTTTAACATCTCGTGCACTTACCAGTGCCACCACAACCCATAGGTGCTCATTATCCCGAGCCAAACTGAAGATCCTTCAAGCTATGTTAGCCCTCAAGCCTTAGAACTAAATTCCAACATCCGGAATTCTCTACCAGGTCTGATTCTAACATACGAACACCGCATCAATCTCTACACGATGTACCAAAATATGATCATGCACCCATGCTGAAATCACACCATGCACCACATAAGTCATATGCCCATAATAACATCCTCCAACCACAATAGCTGCAATTTCACGAATTTGATACCCATAATACACCTCATAACACTTATATGCCTTGTTCCAACTCTCGCAATACTGTCACGACGAAAGAGATGTGTAGACCTGCCACATCAACCACTCAGGGAGTATCTCTGTTTGAAAGAATCATTGCCTCATTCTACTCTGATTAGTGACATTTTCCCTCTAACATACATTATATAAGTCTGATTGCACTGATTCCAAGTCCAACAACCTCGTCTCACCCAGTACAAGCTGCCCTGGCAATAAGCTACCTCAAGCACCATCAAAAATCTCATATCACGCCACCTATGTGCCAATAAGCTACAATTCGAATAAAACACATAAGGAAGAATGAACTCTCGAAAAGAACTATCCATCCCGCGTAATGAATAAAACGACCAAACAGATGATATGAACCTATCTCAGAGATGAGAAACATGGCACACAAAATAAGTATAAGGACATGTAAACATCAAATTTAATAATGATCAAACTCAATGTTACCGTATCAAATTTAATTTATTCGGAAATATCCCATCCATAAAACAACAAACTCAACAATTCCTTCTAGTACATCATCTTAAACTTAAACAAGACAAAGCAATTTAATTTATTTCCGTCAAGCAGAAATAATTTTTCTTTTACCGTATAAACCCATAGAAATCAAGGAAAATATATTCTCTATAATAATATTTACAAGAACAAGCCTCTGTGCGATCATTTGTTGTAACGTTAAGATTTTGGCCAGCATAAGTGAAGAAGACACCACTGTGTGGATAGATTGGAAGACCTCCATTAACGTCATAGATATCGTCGTGGGATTTGGAGATGACGGTAGTGTTAACTTTAACGGCAGAATCGAAATTGGGAATGCTTAGTGAAACATGGAGTTGAACACAATCACATGTATTTTCCACAGTTGTATTCCATACTTCTTGTCCGTTGACAGTTCTACTAAGTTTTTCTTGGCTAATAACAATTCCAGGATTGCATCTGAAACCCTCATCAATTCCTGAAAAAGAAGAAAATAAGTAGTTGTATGTATTTCATTTCTTCTAATTCTTGAAACTTTGTGTTTTTTTATACTCAGAGGCGGACTCAGGATTTTAACGTGACGGCAACACCTCTATATATTTTACTCGACCAATGCCCCTTAAAGGCTTTTAGTATTTAGTGTCAAGTTATTCATATAAACGTACATACATATACATATATAACATTTCTGCGAAGTTTATAAGGTCCAGTGACCCCTCAACACTACTCGTAGCCTTTGTCCATGCCCATAAAAGATTTCACGGATTCAAAAATTTTAGTCATATGATTTAAATTAGGTATTATATATTTTTAAAATTTGTTTCATGCATATGGGGTCCGAAATAATTGCAAGAATTCTTAAATTGCACCCACTGTATAATTCTTGATTCACCCATAAAGACTTGAGGTACCAAAAGTAATATCATCTAAATACTGGATAAAAGAAGATTATTTTTCAAGTAATCGTATATCATATATTAATGTTAAGATTGTCCAATTATACAAGACAAAACATTCATATCACATCATGTGTATCCCAATATTAATCAAAAGTATCACAAAAAATAATAATAAAGAAACGAGAAAATCTAATTTTTGCTTTGGGTATTTGAGAGAGAGGGTAAAAGAATGAGAAAAGGGGTGAGATTAATACCTTCAGCAATGAAAGCAAGAGAAAGGACTAAGCCAGGAACTTTGATGAATGCTGCCATTGAAGAATTTTGTGTTAGTGACTCTTCAGTGTGTCTATTGCTTTACTTTGAATTATTATTATTATTATGTTTTTCCGATGCCTAACAACTTCATATTTATAGATACTTTATATGGGGATGATTAAGGTAACATAATGAAAGGGAGGTGCTATGCTAGGTAAGTTTAAATTTGGTTTCCTAATAAGATGATTGAGTATTACTAGTATTTACCATAACAATCCTGCTGGTTAAAGATTATCTAAAACTGCACAAAGAGAGAGATTTTATCAAATTTGATATTAATATTACTTTTTCTTCATCAAGATGGGGAAAAAGGAAGGAAAAAAAGAGGGGGGAAAAACAACTGCGTTCCTTTTTTTTCTTTCCTTATTTCCTTTGAAACTAGGTACCTCAGGTTAGTAAGCTTCTCCACTGAAATGGCCAGTGAAGTCATTACCAAATTCTGCATATTAATATTTATCTAAAATAGTATGAAAAGAGACATTTGGTCACGCTTGATGGGTAAAAATGTAAGAGAGTTTTACAAATACCATAATTACATCTTCACAATCGAAAAACGAAAAGGAAGGGGGGATAGAGAAATGAACAAAGGTTCGCTGTCATAATTACATATTCAAAGCAAATGTAGTTATATGAATCTATATATTGTTAATTTTGTATACGTTGTTAGTAAGTGTCTCCAAAACAATTTGAGTATCTATATGGTGCTAATATTTATGTCATATGATATGAAAAATTGTACAGGAAACAGCTGATTACTACGTGCTTAGTACCAGTACCAGCATGGCCAAAACAGCTTTTATTTACATTTAACCATACGACTTAATCAAATTGCAAGAGGTGGTCTAACCTACAAAGTCAAAACTATATTTGGACTGCAACATTGGCCGAGATCCCATTACAAATAGATTTGCTTTTAGGTCTTGGTAAGCTATACTCCTATCTAGTTCTTGTTCACAGCAGCTATACTTGTTTCTGCTACTTGTCGTGCTCAGAAACTAATACATTCAAATGTGGGTTAGGTTCAATTCCTACGGCCTTCTACCTGTCTCCTTACCCCCATGCAATGAAAAGAAAAGAAAAGAAAAGGGAAAAAAAACAGATCGAGGTTATAAACAATATTATGATCTATTCAACAGTAACACTTTTGCCCCTAGTCCTGATTATTACAGGTAATTCCTCCACTTAGAACATCCTTAACCATCGAAACAGCAGACTAGCCAATGTGGAATAGAGCGAGTAGTGCTATTTAACAGCTCTGGATGCTGATATCCATAGCCAGACAGTGCTGCTTAGTGCTTAACGATAGCGTAGTAACCGTGAATGATACCTTTTTTGCTTACCATTCAGGTACCTGCTTGAATGTTAAATTGTATCAAAATAAGAAAGAAAGAAAAAATACTTGCTAATTCATGTTTCTTTGAGGTCTTTCAACGATTTGAACCTTTGCTGTCCCCGCACAAACATGAATATGCTGTTAACCTGCTACTAGGAAACTTTTTGAATCAAATAAAGGCCATTATTTTTTGTTTTCCCGTCCTATAGGGATTTTGGAGCATGCAGGTAAGATGAGAAGAGAGGAAAGCCTTTAAGGAATAGCTTCTGCAAAATTTCTACATATTTCTACAAAAATTTGCAACTTTGCTACTTTTACTTAGCTTCTGAGTTTTCCTAGTTGGAAGGATTAACAAACTAAAATGTTACAGCCAAACCCTTTTCGCAGTTTGGATTGGAACTAAACTTGATTTGCCAAACATAATTTCGCATACCATGGCAGGTTACTGCAAATATGCGAAAAGATTCAAGGGGATGCAACCTGTTCTTCCTGCAAAGCAAGTGGTATAGCAGGTCTCCAAGTGGTGCCTTCAGGGCTGTCCATCAAAGCAATACCTACCGCAGCCAATTCTTTTCGAATTGCATCTGATCTTTCATATTCTTTATTTTGCCTTGCTGTATCCCTCTCTGTTATTTTCTGGCGAACTTGATCTTCAGTCAACTTTGCACGCTTCAAAGCTTTCTCCCTCAATTCATGCAAAGCCTACAGACACCAACAGCATGCTTAAGATGTGAGATTCCGTAATATAATTACCATCCATAAGCTACAAAAAGTTGAACGACAAGTACATTGCAGTAATTTATAGAAGAGCTTTTGCATACAATTCAGAAGAATAATGGTAGAGCACTTACCGTGAAATTTAAAGAAAACCAACTAAAATTATCATGATAAAAAGAATATACATGGAGAGCGATTGATAATTGACATCACTTTATAAAATCATCCATCAATGACTAGATATTAAGATAGAATGGGAAAATGTCTAGAGAGTAAAATTGGAAGGAAAGTTTGATAATTTAGGCAAAATTAGAGGGGAGAAACGATTTACACCCCTCAGTTATTAGCACAATATCATCCGAAAATAGCATGCACCAACTGCACCACAACTGAGACCAGCAATTCCTCAGTAAAAAGTTACAGCTTACGAAATACAATGCTTATGACAGCAAATAAAATTTCGCACCTCTTCATAACTGGTCGGCACAAGCCCCAGAATTTCCAGACCACTCGTTATAGTCTTTTCTAAAGCCGCAAGTGATTCTATTCGTAGTCCTTGCTTTTTACCCTGCAGCAAAATGGAAAGCCACTGTCAAGGAAACCTTTGCCTTAAATTTTATCTAACCAGGAGATGCAAAGAGAAGGGAAGTTATACCATACATGTGCAACACGTCAATTCTAGTAATAGACACAAATGATAAAAATGGAAATTGGATCCGTGTAGTGTCTGGAAAGGATAATCTCAATGGCACCTATCACATTGATTTAGACATACGAATTATTGTTTTCTAATCAGTCAGTTATATAATGTTTCTATAGTATTGACAGTAATATTCAGTGTAATTCTTCAACAAAAGAAATTAAAGTTCACAACAGAATCAGGCATTCAGGAGTTCACCATTGCCAAATGACCAACTTAAACTAAGAATAGATACAAATAACCAGCTCTTGATTTCAATTAGGCCTCTGTATTCAAAGTCCACGTGGCCTTTTGCTATGAATAGAAATACAAATGACTTGTGAAAAATATGCAGCCGGAGAGAGTTAATCACTCCTGATATCTATCTCACATGCCACCAAAACAGTGAAGGCCATAATGACATTTTCCTACACTGTACATTTGGCATACAAAATAAAAACATTTGTATATGACGTTTGGAGCAGGCTATTTGGCGTTGTAAAAATATGTTGCTCTAACATCAATTATAAATTGCTCGAAATGAGTTTTTGGGGCTTCTTAAAAGAAATGTGGCAGGATTCTTTTGTTGACAAACCTTTGCTGTATCTGGCTTGAGGGGAAGTTGGACTTTTGAAGAAAATAAATACTATACAAGAAAACTTAATCTGTGATATTCTAACATATCTGTAGACTAAGGGCAATCGCCACTTTAGTGACGTGATAACTGATTTGCAACACAACTGAGCAGAACCATTCTATTAACTCAGAACATCAATCTCTGTGCCCAACTGTAATCCATTCTTCACAAGGATTCCCTCTCATCAATAAGATCTTTTTTTTTTTTGATGACCGAGAAATCTGTCTGGAGCCGATCCTTTGGACCAACAGCAGCCTTCGAAACTCGGTGGATAATGGGCCTGCCCCTCTACCCTTCCCCACTTAAATACCAGGCTTTGCTTTGCATGGTGTGGGGGCTTGAACTTGTGACCTAAGACACAAATCCACCACCCTTTGCCACTTGAGCTAGGCCCTAGGGGCATCAATAAGATCTTCTTTAGTTAAAAGAAAAAGAAAAGTTTGACTTATGAATAAACTTCATCCATAATAAGCAAAAATGATTAAGATAACCTGGTACTTGCAATAGATGCATATGTATACAATGTCATCATGCTGTGATGCTACTAACCAAATTCAGCCTCAAACCCCAAATCTATTCATTTTAATAAAGTGTGCAACCTCTCATGTACAGGCAGCTCTTTGCATCCTTTTGCGGGTTCCAGACAGTCCTATCGTGGTGATCTATCATTCACCTATCAACTGAGAATGTCGTATAGCCAGATGGTGGGCAGGTTAGCTTTCTCCTTTTTCTATACCTGGAAAGTTCTCTCACTAGCTTGGTTGCACATGGCATATTATCAATTAACCTGTTACAATATTGTCACCNTCCTGTCGTGGTGATTTATCATTCACCTATCAACTGAGAATGTCGTATAGCCAGATGGTGGGCAGGTTAGCTTTCTCCTTTTTCTATACCTAGAAAGTTCTCTCACTAGCTTGGTTACACATGGCATATTATCAATTAACCTTTACAATATTGTCACTGACTAACCAAGCACCTAATAGCGTCAATCTTGTAGAATGGTAGAGCTTTCAGGAGTTGCAATTATATGATCTTTACAGAAAATTAGAAGGACCTCCCTCTGTGTTGTTTAGCAGATAATAAAGTATGTGCGGCCCAGAAACATGTTACTGTAGTTAACTAGAGGGCCCGTTATGTGGCGCAAAGAAACTGCTTTTCAGTGATTATTGTCTACACTGATCTAGTTGTCCAAGGCAAAGAGGATAGAGCTCAAACTACTAATGCGGCGGCCAAAGGACAAAAGTTTTTAACCTTTGAATTAATTCTACAACTAGCTGAAGCTGATGAAAAGTAGAAAGAAAAGATGAAAGGAACTTAATGACATGTTCATCTTTTCTGAATGCAAGAAACTTGACTCGTCTTTAGCCAGTTGGCAATAGGCCATTGTGCTGGCATATGATTGATCTCCCAAAACTTTAGTTCGCTTTTTAAAATAATTATGCTAATGAGGGGCTGTAATATCTTCAATCATCCGTCTCTTTATATCAGATTAACTTTTAGAAAAAAGAAAACAATAAAAGCAGTTCAATAATACTTTTCCATGACAAAGCATTAAAGTAAGAACAAAGCATTAGTTACACCACCTTTCAACCTTTTTTTACAAACTTTTGGGCAGGTGATATTGATTGGTATTTTAGTTGAAGCAAAAATACCTTTCGAGTGTGTAAGAGATCATTGATCAATTTCAATGGATCCGACATAGCAGCCAAAGCAACAGGAGTGTGAAGATCATCTGACATCGAAACTAAAAATTCATCTTGGAATTTATTTATACAACTAGCAGTTCCCGCAGGAATGGAATCCTTCCGACTTGCCTCATCATGCTGGCTGAGAACAATTTGACTATCATATAAAGCCTATGAACAAAGACAAGACTCGGGTTAATATCTGTGCATTGGCCGATATAAAGATAAGCTCATAAGGAGCATTTTTGTTTGTAACAATGGAGTTCTTGAACTATGTATTCAGTCTTTTGGTGTAAAGAAGCTCTTGTACAAGATGTAGAGTCTCTCGTATATCTGATTGGATCCTTGTAGCTGTTACAAGATTAGTTTCTGTCATTTTTTGGGTCTTGTAACTATGTTACTCTTAGCACAACCTTTGCGCTAAGGATTACTTTTATTAACATTGAAATCCGTTACCTTCTCAAAAAAAAACTATGTATTCAGTCTTTCTACTATCCCAGCCATCTGTTTCTTTTTGAGGTGAGACCTACATGCCCCGCAAACTTCTTTTCTTTTACAAGGACTGATCCACATACAAATTGACTCCTAAAAGCACCTTATCACTTATTTACCATGCCAGGCAACAATTTTACAAAAAAAATGAGAACAAGGACAATTGCAGCATGAGTGGTCACCAAAAAGGTTAATGTAAATTTACCAGACAATTTAGAGATTTAGAATCAAAGTACCTGATAGATGTAAAAAAGGCGATCAGATGCACTCTCAATCTGCGCGATCGTGTAATTGATGGGAGATCTATAGTGTGTCCCAATTAAGAAAAGCCTTAGGGCCAATGGATGATAAAGATCAATCACCTGAAGAAAGACAGAATAAAGCAATCTCAAGTACTAGAAAGCTGAAATGGAAAAAACAGACAACCTTCCACACATTAATTCTGAAGGAAAAGCATGAGTGTCGTCCCCAGTCTACCTGCCGAATTGTAAAGAAGTTCCCCAGGGACTTCGACATTTTTTCAGAGTCAATGTTGACAAAACCATTGTGTATCCAATAGGTTATGTTGCTCTTCTTACAAGCAGCACAGCTCTGGGCAATTTCATTTTCATGGTGAGGAAATACAAGATCCATCCCGCCACCATGAATGTCAAAAGAATATCCCAAGTATGCAGCACTCATGGCACTGCACTCAATATGCCATCCAGGTCTTCCTGGACCCCAGGGACTCTCCCAGAAAGGTTCTCCCTCCTTTGCAGACTGCATGAGAAAATAAAATTCTTAAATAGTAGCAGAGGTTGAGAAACATCAGCTTAAGTAGCTCATATGATTGGCAGATGCCCAGAGTAACAGGCTTCTATAACACTTTGGGAAAATGCAAAGGACTTTTGGTGGGGGGAAGATACACTCAGATGGCAAAAACATAGCAGTGGGATTTATACAGTTAGCTCACATACAAAGATTTGAATCAGATGGGACCTCAACTCAGTTTCCGGCCTTGGAAGCACATATGGAAAGTTAAGGTTCCATATAAAGTGGCATGCTTTACTTGGTTGGTGATTAAGGAGGCTGTTCTCACTCAGGATAGTCTAAGGAAGAGGGTATACCTATTGTTTTAAGATGCTATTTCTGTGGACAGGATGCTGAGACAATCAGCCATCTGTTTCTACAATGCGAAGAGACGAGCCAGCTATGGATTTGTTTATCAATCTCAGAGGTTCTAGATGAGTAATGCCAGGGAGAACTTTTGAACCTTTATCATGCTGGAATACAGGGACAAACTTTACCACAGACAAGGACAGATGGAAAATTGTCCCAGCAACTATTTGGTGGACAATCTGGAAAGAGAGGAATTCTAGATGTTTTGATGATACAAGCAGCTCTCTACAGAAGATCAAGATGAATTGTATTCTTCTTTTTAGTTTTTGGTGTTCAGACTATATACCTGAATCAATCTTAGATGTTTTAAGCTCCTTATAAGAAGAACAAGGATTGTAGTTTTGTTTTTACAGGATGTAACTCTTGTATTTTGGCTTCCAGCACAACCTTTGTGCTGATGATTTTATGAATATACTGGATATGTTACCTTCTCAAAGAAAGAAAAAGCTCATATCTTCGGTAACCAAAAGCCCACTGACTCAGTTACACTCTCCTACCAAAGTGTATGAAGTCGAAAAAAAGCAGCTCCAAAATGATTTTTGCACATCGACGCTCAGGTGAAACAATTGGCAAGGAAGGATCACCAGATGGGAAAAGTAAAAAACAAATGGAGGCAATACTAAGGTTATTAAAAAGTTAATCTGTCAACAATCAACCCAAACTCAGGATAATACAACTCATACAATCGTCATCCTTTTTCCTTTAAATAATGGATAAGGATCATCTCTAAATGACAGGAGATTGTTATACCAACCACAAGTAAACTTTCTTGCATATGAACTATTCAAAGAAACAGAGTGGAAGCTAGAATTTCCTGTGCCAATTCAACCATCAATTATTGCTTCTCTATTACCACTTCCTGTGGCAGAGAACATTGCATATGATTCTTTCCTTTATTTATAAAATTGAAAGATTTAGAGGAAACAAAACTAGCATTTGGCATTTATCACATCATGAATAAATGTAAGAACACATCAAGACCATCAACAGATGAGCACTTTTGCCTTAAAGAAGATTGCAGTGGGTAAAGATGTATGCTAGCACAATCTAAGAGTTTCTTTTTAGATCGAACTTGAGCTCTTCAAATGAACTTAGAGTTAATGAAAGACATGACTTTCCAAAACAGGTCATCTGAAGAGTATCCATTTAAGGGGTAAAGAGGGGAAACCATTTGTTATGTGATGCTACCAAGTTTCTGAAACAGAAGACAAATAACTAGCTGCATTTTGCAAAAACTTGTTATAATATACAAATATCATGCTGCCTAATAATTTCCGTGCAGGGAACTTGGGATTAAACATTCCAATCTCTGAAATGCTTCGCAAACAAAGTCATATCAAGAATAATCAAGTATCAATCAGAAACAGATGAAGCGAGCACGCACTAACCCACACAGAAAAAGAAACAAAAAATACTAACAATAGAAACACATTGCATGATC